GCTGTGCTCAGAGCTTACTCCTGGCTCCGCACTCAGGATTTACTCCTGCTGGTGCTCAGAGGACCCTATGGGATACCCAGGCTTGAATCTGGCTCAGTGTGTGCTAGGCAAGCACCCTCCTACTCTGCTGTGAGTCCGGTCCCCTTAGGGTGAACTTCTCTCTCCAAAATTTCCCTGGGACAGACTGCCAAGTGCCCCTCAGTTCCCCGGGGTCACGGTCTCCTCCGTAGATGCAGCCTTTGTCGATGCCATGGAGGGGGCTCTTACAAGGATGAGAGAGGCTGCTGAAGAGACTACCAAAGCGGGAGGAGAGAAAATGGGCATTCAAAGGACATAAAGAGTCTTATTAGTTGAATGCCTAGAATGTAGCACCTAGAATGGGAGAAATGACATTTGAGGAATCCCATGAGGAGGCCCCAGAGTGCCAGGCTGAACAGTGAGTGAGAGAACCCCGAACAGGCCTGAAGTTAGGGACCAGCGTGATGCTGGGGGCTGCAGGACAATCTCTGCACGGCAGAACCCCGGCTTTGTCTCTAGGGAGTGACTCCAGAACCTGACCAGAACAGCCCTAGGCTCTGCCAGGTGGGGTCACAAAACAAAAACAAAAAACATGTCTGATTCTGAAGGAGAGGGCCTGGGACCAGGCAGGGACTGAGGGACAGAGTTTAGACATGGCAGATCAGGGGAGCACCGAGAGGAGATCCCGGAAAGGCGGCAGAGACCAAGGGATCCGAGCAGCCAGGAGGGAGCAACACGGAGGAGGCTGGGGAAGAAGCGGACATGGAGAATGGAGTGGCAGGAGGTGACTGGAGAGCATCTGTGTGTCCCAAGATAAACGTCTACCAGGCACGGTGGGTGCTGGGCAGCCTCAGCCCCTGGGGTGCTGGCTGAGAAGAGGCAGGACAGAGCCAGAGTGCTAGAGCATGGTCTCCTCCAGAGACCTCCAGTGATGATCTTCTCATTCTTTTTTTTTTAAGATTTTATTTTTATTATTTATTTATTTATTGCTTTTTTGGACTGCAGTGATAGCACAGCGGGAAGGGCGTTTGCCTTGCACATGGCCAACCCGGGTTTGATTCCTCCACCCCTCTCGAAGAGCCCGGCAAGCTACCAAGAGTATCCCGCCCACACGGTAGAGCCTGGCAAGCTCCCCATGGCTCTATATGTATTCGATATGCCAAAAGCAGTAACAACAAGTCTCACTTTGTGTTCCTGGAGTGAGCAGATGCCATTGGGCTACACTAGCACGAGACAGGGATGAATGGAGACGTTACCGGTGCCCGCTCAAGCAAATCGATGAATAACGGATCGACAGTCCTGCAGTGCTTATTGCTTTTTGGGTCACACCCGGCAACGCTCAGGGGTTCTTCCTGGCTCTGCATTCAGAAATTACTCCTGACAGTGCTCAGAGTGCCATATGGGATGCCGGGGACCGAACCCAGGTCGGCAGTGTGCAAGGCAAACACCCTACTCGTTGTGCTATTACTTCAGCCCCCCGATCTTCTCATTCTTGTAGGTGCCACAGAAAGTGGTTTGGGGCACATGTTAGCCCCTGAGTGAGGTGACCTCCTCTTGTTGGAAGGTGGGGTGGGGAGTCCTTATGTGCTCCAAAGGATTTACGGCCACAATGGCACCAGCACGACTCATTTTTGTTGTTCTGGGGCCGAACCCAATCCCCTGTGGCGGTGCTCAGGGAATCCCGTGGTGTTGGGGAGGGACTCAGGCCTTCCAGAAGCGAAGAGTGTGCTCTAGGGCTTGGTGCAGGCTCTCCAGCTCACCAGGACTGGCCGGGAGGCCCTCCTCCTGGTGAGAACTGTGGCCGCGTTCCACTTCCTTCGTGAGTCTGAAACCACCCATGCACCGAAGTGAGAAGACACATGTGGTCGGGTCTCAGCACCTGACTCCACTGCTTCTGGAAATCAGTTGGTTTTGCTCACCCACATGCATCTCTCCTTCTGATAACTCCTCAGTTTCCCTCTGAGGAAACCAGCCTTTTTCTTTTTTTTTTTTAATTTGTGGCAAAATAAAACCTACCATCTGAACCATTTAAAAAAACATAGTTTCGTTAAGTATATTTACACTGTCAGGCAACCAACACCCTTCCTTTTTGGGGGGGTTTCCAAACAATGCTCAAGGGGCCTGGGGGAGTCCCCCACGATAATCAGCAACCAAACAGATGACTGGTTTAACTGAGGGTCTAAGGACGCAGGGTGACTCGGGCCCTTAGGTGGGGGGGGGGGGTGAAGGGGGAGTAGGGTGAGGGGGGGATTCTTCCTTTTTAGGATTTTTGTGCTAGTTGGGGTCTTAACTCTTGGTTTCAGGATGGAACTGTGAACACAACAATCCATCAGAGTCTATTCTCCCTGTCAGAGAACTCCTAGCGGGTGCTGCGCAGAATTCAAACCCAAGACCACCAAACAAGGCTAGTCACTTGGGTCATTAAGAAAGAAGTTTTCTCTTCCCACTTCAAAAACCAAACTGTCAGGACTTACTTAACCCAGTTAATTACCAGTTAATTAGGCCAGTTAATTGACGACAAACTGGCAGAATTACAGGAGGCTATCTCTGCCCCTGACTTTGGAAGCTAAATTCCAGAAACTGTAGTTATCTTAAATAAGAAACCTTTTCTTTTCTTTCTTTTTTTTTTCTGCCAAGTTGGAGTGGATTTTTATCACTTGCAATTAAAACAAAACAAACAAAAAAACCCAAACCCCCCAGAACTCTGACTTAGAGTTGCTGTGACTCTTGATACAATTTGAGCACAAACATTCCTCTTTTCTCTCCCCACCTCACTTGCTTTCAGAGATAATCTCTTCATCTAGTTCCGGACCCCCATCCTCCTACTTGATATGTGTTCAACAATAAAGATGAAATAGTTTGAAGAATGAGCATAATAAAGAAGTCTACCAAAGGCGAGACCAGAGCGCTAGTGCAGCAGGCACTTGCCTTGCACGTGGCCAACCCAAGTCTGATTCCCGGCACCCCACGCGGTCCCCAGAGCAATGGGAGGAGTTATCTCTGAGCACAAAGCCAGGAGTATACCCTGAGCACCGCCGGATGTGGCCCCCCAAAAAACAAACAAAACATCTACTAAAGGCAGAAAAAATGTCTGGCTAGTGTGCAGGCACGTCAGCGAGCATTCAGAAGCCCAGACGCCGGTGAGAAGTTAGACAAGCAAGTCCCAGAAAGATGCTGTGCGCTCACAGTTTAGGGCCGCCCTTCCCTACCCAGTGGGGCATGCGCAAGCCACGGAGTCATCCCTGCAGGAGCCCAGTTTGCATGGAGGGAGCAGACACACATGTTGGGTGGAATGGGCAGGAGCTCTGTTCCCAGGGAGCCAGGATGGAGACCCTAGTCGCAGGCCGTGGACAGAAGCCCTTGATCTTAGTTGGTGGGTCTACAGAAATGCAGGGTTGGGTTTTATACGGGTTTTCATGACCTTTCCAAGAAGTACCTAGTAAAGTCAAATACCCTGTTTTTGAAATAGGCTTTTGACTTTATTTTTTTAAAACTCCAGCAGAAATTGAGCTTTTAGGAGTATATGTTGGGTATTTGTGCACAGAAAGTTCACAAACTTTAGGGGGCAGAGAGATAGTACAGCAGGTAGGGTACTTGCCTTGCATGCAGCCTACCCTGGGTTTAATCCCCGGCACCCCATATGGTTCCCCCGAGATTAGCCACGAATGACCCCTGAGCACAGAGCCAGAATGAGTCCTGAGTACTGCTGGGTGTGGCCCACAAACAAACAAAAAAAATCCCAAAAGTTTAACAGTTTTAACCGATTGTACATGCTATAGGGACAGAACTTCAGCCCCCTCTCTGTTCTGAGCATACCTCCAGGGAGAGTGTGTATGTGAATGTGTATATGTGAGTGTGTGTGTGTGTGTGTGTGTGTGTGTGTGAGTGTGTGTGTGTGTTCATGCCCATAAGTCTAGAATCCCTCTGGGGACTCTCATACACGTACAAGTCTACTAATGTGTGAAGAAACCAAGTCCTAGGGCTCAAAAGCCGGGCAAAGCATCAGCATCACATTTTCAGCTGGGCAGTAAGCCAGCAGAGGCCAGGAGAAAAACGCCCCCTTCACACAGTCTGGAATGTTCTACCAACCAGACCCTAGGGAAGACTGCTTTGACTTCCCCTGGAGGTGTATCCCCAGGCCCAGCCTCAGGGAGTCCCACAGCTAAGGTTCAGCCTCAGCCTCCCTGGGTTCTAGTCACGCTGGACACGTGTTCGCTTCTCAGTACAGGAGTGAGCTGGTAACCCTGCTCAGGGCAGCACCGTGGGGTCCCAGCCCCAGCCTTAAGTCAGCTCCCGAGTGCTTCGGAGCCGGGTTGGGGGGGTAGGGAATGGGGGTAGGTGGGGGAAGGGGGTCTATGCTGAACCCCACGTATGCAACTTCCATGGAGAGGCTACGAATGGCGTGGGGGTCTCATCCCCCCTATACTTAACTAGCTGGGGTACAAGTCACAGAACCCCAGAACAAACAGCCTGTGGGGAGGGGGCTTGGTCTGTCATTTGTATACCTCTCCCACCCCCACCCTTGCCCACCCAGCACCCTGCCCGCACCTACACGTGGGAAAATGTGAATAGGCCCATGTCCTGCTGTGCGAATCAGCAAGCTCCCGGGAAGCCCTTTCAGAGGGGCGGCAGGGGGGCGGGGAGGCGGGCGGGAAGCTGGGGACACTGGTGCTGGGAAACGTCCACCGGCGAAGGGACCTTGCTGGACCACGGTATGACTCACAGGGGCACCTCGTCGCCGCCACTCCCGCTGCCCAGGGAAGCGGCCCGTTGTTCCCATTGCTCAGATGAAGCAACTGAGACCCAAACATCACCCGTCCCCGACAGCAAGGCCAGGGCCCCAGCCCTGGAAGCCGCTCCGCCGTGCGCGTGCAGGGGGCCCCCGGCTCTCCTCTCCGAAAGTGCTCGCGGAGGGCGGGAGGAAGGTGCGGCCGCGGTCCCCAAGCCCGTCCCCCCGCTGCCCCGCGCACCCCGGTACTCACGGCTCCCGCAGGCCCAGGCGGCTCGGCGGGGCGCATCCTCTCGCCCGGCTCCGGCGTCCTCACTGCCCGCTCGCGCCGGGGCATCAGATTATTTTAGCACTTGCGGAAGGAACGGACGGAAACTGAAGTCACATGGAGAGCGCGGCGCAGCGACTCAGCCCCGGGAGGGAACCGGGGGCGGGGGAGGGGCGCGCGCGGGCCCCCAGGGACGCGGACCCACCTCCTTAGAGACCGAGAGCCGCGGGGCTGGGGCGGGGGCCCGGGGGTTCATGCCTGCGATTTTGCTGGCCCACAACCTCTTTCGAGGTGAGCTGCCAGGGTGAAGCAGGGGGGACCGGGCCGGGCCCGGCTGGGCTGGGCTGGGTTGGGGTGCAGCTCACGCATTTGCGGGGAGCGCCCACTGCTCTGGAAGCGTCGCACCCCTCAGCTGGTATTCATTCTTCGTTTCCTTGAATGTGTCCAGCACGTCCACAATAAAAAGAAATGAAAATTGTTCCTAAAGACTTATCAGATTGCCTGGAAACTTCTTGATCATAGAATTCATTGCATCTTGGGAGCGTGTGTGTGTGTGTGTGGGGGGGGGGGGGGTCGGGGGAGAACATGCAACAGATTGAGTACATAGCTTTTACATGTGGGAGGCCAGGTTTGATCTCTGACATCATCGGGAGGGTCTCCTGAGCACTGAGCATTGAGCAGGGAATAAACGTGGCAAACACTGTAGGGTGTGCCCCTCCTGTCGCCCCTCCCAAAAAAATATAGTACAGCACTAGACTACAGTCTCACCCCCAAACTTTGTCAGAAGTGATCCCTGAGCACAGAGCTAAGAGTAAACACTGAGCACCACAACCCAGCCCCCAAACCAAAACCAAAACAGAAAGAATTTTGTTTACACCTGTTCTGTGCTAGTGGTTGTCAAGAATTAAAAGAATCATTGAATTGCTAACAGCTACCCTTCAAAGCCACCCCTACCCACTGCTGCGCTAGACTTGTTTTTTTTTCTACGATCCTTCCTAGCTGCGAACCTGGAGCTGACTTTCTAGTGGAAGGAGGGAAACACAGTGTCTACCCAGCCTGTGAGCAACACACGGCCAAGCCAGTGAGGAGTCCAACGCCAGCTCCTCTCTTCCCTCCCCCCTCAGTCCTGGGCTGGCCTGCAGCGCTCCCCGGCCTGCAGTATAGCAGGATTGTTCTTCACAGTCCACCCTGCGAGAATAGGAGCAAGTCCTTCAGCAGCCAGAAACTTATCTCTGCTCCCTCAAATGTTTGTCACTATTGGGGTAGACTAGGGCAGAGCAATGGTACATTGGGCGTTTGCCTTGTACGTGGCAGGTTTGATCCCCAGCATCCCAAATGCTCCCCAGAGCATCACCAGGAATGCAGAGCCAGGAGTAAACCCTGAGCACCACCCAATGTGGCCCCCAAACCAAAACAGAAACAACAACAAAAATCATTGTAAGAATAATGACACAACAATTAAAAAAAACTATAGTAAAGGCCAAGCGGTTGCAAACCGACAAATCTCTTTCAGCTTCTCCTCTTGTTGCTGTGTTTTCTCCTTCCCTGTACTTTGTGTCTACCAATTTTGATAACTCCAAAATTTTAATCTCTAACTCCAACGTTTTCTCCCCCGAGAGAGAAGACCCAGACATACATTTATAAGTGTCTGCTGGTGAATCAACTCTTCCATGGCCAAAGTCATCCCAACACACTATATTCCAAACTAAACTTTTTTTCCCAGTGGTTTGGGAGGCTACACCTGGGATTGTTTGCCCCTGATGGGGGGCAGGCCTCATGGGTGTGAGCCTTGTGAATGGTTTAGTGCTCTGGCCTGGTGGAGCTTGGAGTTTCCAGGGCTCCACTGTGCAGGGGGCATGTGGCGCCTGCCAGGGATTGAAATCAGAGCCACCACCTGCTAGCTACACACTGTAGCACTTCAACTGTCTGGCCCCCAGACAAAACTCATACCCTTTGTCCTATGCAGTGTCTCTCCTCCTGATTGCCCTGTTAAGGCCCTGTGCCCACGGGTTAGTCCAATATTGGCAAACACCATCCCTCAGTCCGAATTAATTAGCCATTGCTGTTGAACCTAACAACGTCTCCAAACCTACTTCCCATCTCCACTGCTGCCAGGCCCTGCACTTAGACTCAAGAACTCGTGTCTGGGCCATTTCAGAAGCCTCCTTCAAAGGGGCTCGCAGCTAACCTTGTGCCTCTCCAGTGTGGATAACACGCACGGAGCGTCAAATTTCCTACTTACAGCCTTTCCTGGATTAGTCATCTAAAACACAGTTCAAAAGATGACTAAGAGCTGTATTTGGGAGGGGGGGTCCGGGGCGGGGGGTAGGGTTCCAGGCACTTTATCCCCTACTTGTCCCAAGCAACTCCACTTCATTGAGGTTCTTTATGATTTTCTTCTCAGAAAGGCAACTGCTAGTACACACACACACACACACACACACACACACACACACACCTAAAAAAACACCCAAAACTTAGAAAACCAATAGCACAGCAGTAGGATGTTTGCCTTTCGTGCGAGGCCGAGCCGGTTCGATTCCTCTGCCCCTCTTGGAAAGCCCTGCAAGCTACCGAGAGTATCTCACCCGCACGGCAAGGCCTGGCAAGCTACCTGTGATGTATTCGGTATGTCAAACACAGTAACAACAAGTCTCACAATGGAGACGTTACTGGGCCCGCTTGAGCAAATCGATGAACAACGGGAGGACAGTGCTAAAGATCTTGATAGCCATGTGGAGAGTGGAGACAAGTCTGTGTTGGCAAACAATCTCCCTTAGAACAGCAGCAAGAGGCTGGAGTGATAGTACAGAGGGTAGGGCGTTTGCCTTGCACGTGGCCATCCCAGTTCGATTCCCAGCATTCCATATGGTCCCCTGAGCACAGCCAGGAGTAATTCCTGAGTGCAGAGCCAGAAATGACCCCTGTGCATTGCTGGGTGTGACCCAAAAAGCAGGAAAAAAAAAAAAGAACAGCAGCAAGCCAGCTAATGGGCGACTCAAGACGTTCCATCAAAACCAGTGATGGTTTGCAATTTAAAAGAGAAATTTTGTTCTGTGGAGGGAAAGGTCTTGGGTCCAACTAGGTGCTACTGCCCAGAAACCACTCCTGGCAGTGGTTAGGGACCATACACGGTGCCAGGATTTTGAACCAGGTAGGTTACGTGTGCGGCAAGCACCTTACGCCCTGTATTTCTCTGGGAGAGCTGAGGTGACAGCCGAGTAAGTGCAGATGCCTCATTCAGCCTGATCTTGCCCCAGTCTCTCTTCATTATATCTGCCATCCTTTAAAACACAGCAACCGAACTGAGTCTGATCCGCTCACAGTTTCCCTACACACGGAACTGATGCTCCCGCTCTACTTCCTGGATTAAAGTGTCTCTTTCTTGGAGTGTGTGTCTTCCATCAGAGACACTTGGAAATGTCTCTTCCATTACCTACCCCAGTCTTCCCATGTTCAAGGCGTTTGAGCACATGCCCCCCTCCATTTGGAAGCCCCTGCAGCAAGCTCTCCAGACTCCAAGACTGATATCAGGGAAACTTGGGTTTAATCCCTGGCATCCCATATGGTTCCCCCAGCACTGCCAGGGCTAATTCCTGAGTATTTCACATGTGGCCGCAGGCAAAAAAAAAAATCAAAACACGCTTTAACCTGGATTTGTGTGCTTTGCTGCACACCTACTAGGTGCTAAATGAGACCCAGCTGGGGACTGACAAAGTGAGCAGACATAGTCCACAGGCACCAGGACTCGCTGCTGAGCGGCCAGGGCAGCTGTGCCACAGGCACCAGGAGGTACACCAGCAGCATAGGGCATAGCATACAGGGACACACAGGGACAGAGTCCCTCCCACTTGACTTCGATCCTTCCCTCCTCCCATTTTTCCAGATGATGAAGATTCTATCTGGGGCTGTGAGACCCGTGGCAGAGGCTGTGAAGGGAAGCGCTTTTGAGTCTAGAAGCAAAGTGATCAAGGGCAAAATGTTTCCCCTCCTCTGGGCATGTTCGAGGGAAGGGGACAGTCCACTGTGCCCAGCACTGAAGCAGTAGGGCTTACCTCTGGGCTGAGTGAACACTCCAGGTACAACAGTTGATTTATTCACCCCTACCTGAAAAGGGTTTCACGGTTTTGTGGGTTCTCCGCCCCTGCACACAGACAGTGCCACCCTTCCTGGCCCCTCCCCGCACCGTGGACAGCCCTGGCCAAATGCCTCCCTTGCTCCTCTGGGCCTCAAAACACGCGAGGGAGGGGATTTCCTCTGGGGCCTTAGTTGGGAATCATTCTCTTGCCCCACGTCAGATGGCTGCTGGGGGAGAATCTTCAGTGGTTTCATTTCCCTCATTTGGAATGTAGTTTTTAAAGAACCAAAAATCAAAAACGAAAAGAGGAAAGGCTACCGCCCACATTGGTGCCATTCAACCCCGCATGATGCCTTTCGGGAAAAGTGCGGGGTCAGGGCAAAGACTGAGGATCGAGGGGTGTGACGGGGCTTACTGTCTCTTCTCTCTGACCCTGAGATCTGGATGTCAGATCCTGAGACCCGCCGGCTGCCAGGAACTCAGAAATTCACAGAGCTCTCCTGAGACGCTGAGCCTGGCCTCCCAGTGCCACTGACCTCTGTGGGGACATTGCCTCTTCCTGTCAGGAAATGCGGCCCGTATCAACATGTGATCAAAGACGGTGTTGTGCATAGATAACAAGACGTCTCCAGAAGCATCCTGTCACGCCAAGGGCGTGGCTGGCAGTGGGACTCTGGGTGGGAAGACCAAGTGCCACAGACTGTGGTACAGGGCAGGGCAGGATAGAAGGGGACCCTGAAAGACAAGGGGCTGGGTGCCTGAAGGAAGAGAGGTAGCAATTGGGGACTCCAAGAGAAGCTTCCCTGGAGAGGTGGCTGTCCAACTGGGGTTAAAGGCTAACGAAAGAGACAAGGAAGAGGATGGAGGGACGAGGCCCTGTGGGAAAGGAGAGGATGTAAGAGGGACACTGTCCCTGTGTGTCCCTGTATGCTATGCCCGGTGCTGCCGGTGGCGCCTCCTGGTGACTGTGGCATAGCTGCTCTGGTCGCTCACCAGCGAGTCCTGGTGCCTGCGGACTGTCAATTCACTTTGTCAGTCCCCAGCTGGGCCTCATTTAGCACCTAGTAGGTGTGCAACAAAGGCTTTATAAATGAATCCAGGTTAAAGCGTGTTTTGATTTTTTTTTTGCCTGCGGCCACATGTGAGATGCTCAGGAATTAGCACTGGCAATGCTGGGGGAACCATATGGGATGCCAGAGATTAAACCCAAGTTGGCTTTATGCAAGGCAAGTGACCCACCCACTGTACTATCTCTCTGGCCCTGATTTTTTTTTAATGTATTATCTTCAACTGCTGGAATGACCAAATCATTTATTAAATCACAAATCAAGTGATTCTATTTTATCTAAAATTTGACATAATTGAATTATCATCATTTTATTTATGTGGGGGTGTTGGGCCACACCCCCCAGTACTCAGGGCTCTGAGCTCAGACAGGGGACCATATGTGTTTCCAGGGATCAAGCCGGAGAAGGCTGTGTTAGTGCCTTACCTGCTGTACTTTGTCTCAGCCCATTGATCAGCGTTTTAGCGTTTAACTCAAAGAAAGCTAATGTGTTGGAATCAAAGCACCTCATCCTTATCCTAAGAGGGAATAGTTCACGGTGAGCAGTTCACGGTGGGACATGAAATATGGGGTCAGTGGCCCGCATGGCCTCTCTTCAGTCATCTTCCATTTTACATTTTCCATGATCTAAGGTACATCACATAGAAGTCACATGGGTGAGTTTTCCTGACCCTGGAGCTCTAGGTAGAGTATAAATATTTGCTTAAGTAAAGAAGTGATGAGAAGTACATTTATGGTCATGATCCAGAGACTCACAAATGAATCTCGGAAGAGAGCAGCAGAGATATCTCCCCACCCCTCACCAGGCTGATTTCATCTGGGCACCTCTGAGAGGGGCAGGTATGTCTCTCCACCTGCCCCAAAAGAACCCCAGCAGCCGCAAACCTTCAGAAAGAACCCAATCACTGCCAGGTTCACAGCCGACTTTCACAGGCTCTTCCCGAACCGCCATGCACGAGAATGAACCCGCTGAAAAATCCAGGTACGTGGGACTTGTGACTGAAATCTCCAGGCTCCATGGAGTTGGGGATAGGCAGCCTCCCCCCCATCTCCCCGCCCTTCTGGTTTCCCGGCAGTCATGCCCACAGACTGCCTCTGGGCGCCATTACCAGCCATGATTCAGAGACTCACAATGAATCTCAGAGGAGAGCAACATGCTGCAGAGATGCCTCCAGACCCCCAACTCACCATCCAGTTAAAAAACAACTCCAGGGGGCTGGAGCAATAGCACAGCAGGTAGGGCGTTTGCCTTGCACACGGCCATCCCGGGTTCGATTCCCAGCATTCCATATGGTGCCCTGAGCACTGCCAGGGATAATTCCTGAGTGCAGAACCAGGAGTAACCCCTGTGCTTTGCCGGGTGTGACCCAAAAAAGAAAAAAAATTAAAAAATAAAATAAAAAACAACTCCAGCTCTAGCGTCCTATTTAAAATGATAGAATTCCAGGAGCACGTGGCGGCAAAAGCAGCTGTGGATGTCTCATACTTTATGCCACTGATATACCAAGAGTAACACACCACATTTGATGGGGTGAAAGGTAGAAGACAACTGATCTTGATACACACACAACACACACAAAGGCTCAAATTCTAATAACATCTGAATGTTCTCTTAAACAGGGGCTTAATGGCTCCAAGATGAGATACAACAATTTTCACTCACTTTCTTCTAAGGAAATCTTTCTGGGTCATTTTTAGTCAATTATTCATAACAAGCAATACAAAACAAATCATTTGGCATTCACCTGTGGGGCAGGCTTGGGTGGTGGTGGGAAAATTCGAAAAAAAATGGTGGTGGGAAGGTGTAATGGTGATGGGATAGTGTTGAAGTATCGAATGTAATCAGTTATTTTGAATAACTTTACGAAAATAAAATTTAAAATAAAAAAAATAAAGGAGTGACGAGGGACTGGAGCAATGGTGTAGCAGGTAAGTGCTTGCCAACCCAGGTTCAGTCCCTGGTATCTCTATGGTCCCCTGACTACTACAAGCAGTAATTCCTGAGCACAGAGTCAGGAGTAACCCCTGAGCATAGCCAGCTGTGGTCCCAAAACAAAAACAAAAAAGTGATGATAAACCCAATGAAAAGATCACCCAGTGTTCTCAATAAGGAAAAAAAGTGTCATTTGCTCCAGAACAAATGTTTCTCCACTGGGAGTCACATGACCCCTCTTTATGTCTCCAGGACATTCCAAGGGCACCACAGGTGAAAATAGTGTAAATGGGGGGGAGGGGTGCCCACAGCATAAGACTAGGGACTAACCCATAGGACATTGAAGCCACAGGAAGGAAACCAGGTCAGAAGGGGGCCAGGGTTGGAGAAAGGCTGAGAAGCACCGTTCTAGAGTATAGAGTGGTCACACTAAAGCACATAGACATGCACACTCATACACAAACCCCATGCTCACACACACAAAACATTTGCATACACTCACACCCACACCCACTCACATACCCACACAACCATACAGACATCCACACCCATTCACATTCATACACTGATACACACCTAAGCACATTCCAAGTGTGCACTCACATACATTCACATACTCACACATGAAACAGTAACAGTTTCAGTAGTGCAGCAGGGATGGGAACTAGCTGCCAAAGATGGGTTTATTAGTGACGGGGCATAAAAATAAAGACAAGGAGAAACAATGCTCTCTTGAGAAATAAGGGCGAGAAGAGAAGGGTCAGTGTGTAACTATCTTCTGTAAAACGTGAAATGTTCTGTAAGTGTATTTATGTTTCCTTTACAGAACAGGCGGGGAAGAAGAACAGAGAGGAGGTGGACCAGGTTCACATACAGGGTTAGTCTTGGCAAAATGGTTGCTTGCTGCAGCTAGGGAAAGAGACCTAGCAACACCCCTAATCTCCCGTGTTCACAAGGTCCTTCCTGTGAAGTGTGAGGGTCTCGCCCGGTTTGCATGCTGCTGTGACGCCAGTAGGCAACCCAGCCTGGTATGGAAGGAAGTAGAGCTTGGCACAGGCCTGACTATCCCTGCTCCCTGCCTTCCAAGGACACCCAATGCCTGTGACACAGCTACCGCCCCCTGTCGGAAAGAAAATCGCACAGATTGATCATAGGTTTTTTCTCACATAGGAGAAAGAGTCAGTATCAACTCGATTTTAACTACAGTCACTAGTTTTAGGGTTTTTTTTTAAGTTACAATTACAAGTTGTTTTTCTTATGACTATGATAGTATGACAGATCTGCTGAAAAATCCAAAAAAAAGAAAATCCGGCATATTAATGCAGGCCGCTCACCACGAACTTTAGGGTCTATTATTACATTCTGGCCTTTGTCTATATCTATCCCTTTATAAGTTTTAGCACTGAAATCAGATTCCATATGCTCTTTTGCCAGTTTCCATACATTCACTATAGCTTGGAATTTTTTTCTGTATCTAACATGTTTCCTGGCTCCATGTTATTATTCTGTCGCTTGGATGAGCACGATTAATTATCCATGCCTCTTTTGTGTGTAATATTACAGAGCAGGATCCAAATTCCTTATTTTAAAATTTGAAAGTAAGAAATTGTAAAAAAAAAATAACATTTCATAGTTGACAAATGTAGTTTACATTGATGTAATTTATTCGATGAGGTCTAGAACCATTCCCCTTCAAAATCAACACTTTCCAATTTTGACAACAATTATGAATAGTTACATTAAGTGGACAAAAGACAAAAGTGAACAAAATAGACCTTTGTCACTTTAGGTCAAGTTTTGCAACCCAATGAGTTGGTTCCAAACTCATCAAAAAAATCCTTTGTTTTCCTGCACTTTTTGGATTTCAGAATTTGGGATTCATATTAGGCTTTGAAGACTGGCTTGTTCTGCAGTCCAACTGCTTCTCAACAGCTGCGGTGTTCTATCGGATAAGCATTAACCACAATCTGGGAGGAGAAAGAAAAATAAAATTATGATGAAAATTCCCAACCAGGGAAGAGTGCGAGGTCTGGAAGTCAGCTCAAGGGCAAAGAGCGGATGTGGGGCAGGATGTCAGGGAGAAGGTGTCGGTAACAGAAACGCCCTGGCAGGGGCCAAGGTGTAAATTGCCACAGAGCACAGGTCAACAGCTCCCCAGTTCATTTCACACCCACCCATTCCTAGAAATTCAGCTTAAGAATCAAGTGTAAGCCCTGTGACATCCAGGTACCTTTCAGCCCATAGGGGGAAAAAAAAGAAACTTCACTCAGTGAGGACGAAGCCTCCAAAGGAACCCCTGCTGGACCTCCCAAGATGCCAGGAGAGGCGAGAAGGGCAGGTGCTTAGAAACAGTCAGCCCTGAGGAGCAGGAGCACAGTCTTCTGTGGAGGCCTGGCCCGGGGGCCCCATCTCCTTCCTGTCCCAGTGTCAAGTGTGGTTTGCTGTCAAGTGGTAGCAGGTTCAGCCACAGTCAGGGGAGAGAGAGGGGAGAGGCCCTGCAGTGGGTCTTGAGTTCTGGAAGACGATATGCTCAAGCTACTTTCAACTGGGCTGCAGAATGAATGGTGGGGACCGGGGGCAACTGGGTGGTGCAAGGCCTGCTGGGAAATGTGTGTTTCAATTGGCAGTTGGGCAGTTTAACCACAAGCTGGGGGCAGGGTGGGGTCGACCCAGGAGGGAAGAGGGGTAAAGAGGAAACAGAAGCATTTTTTTTCCCTCTCACATCAGCAGAACTAAAAGATAAACCAATCAGATCCAATTACTGCCCGCCTGGCCCTGAGCTCAAAAGCTATGTGAAGACCTCCCACTGCTTCACAGACCCTTCCTCTATTGTGGCTCTTACTGTGCCAGTGACAGGGAGACTCGAGATTCATGGCACCAGGGAGAAGGGATTGCCAAGAACAGCTTGCAGATTCTGACCTAGAGGGCACTCCTGCCTTCCGGGTTACCAGGACTACCTTATTGGGGGTTTCGCTGAAAGACTTACCTCCCTCAAGCCCCAGTGAATTCCATTTTATTTCATTTACAGTTTCTACGAATGGGAAATGACACGTGATTCCTCCTGAAATCAGATTTCTGGTCATTATAATGAGCCTAAACCCAGCAGAAAGCTACCTCAAAGCCTAGTGTCCTCATTCACAGAATAAGTTGGTCTCGACCTAGAATTGTGAGAGCAACGGAAGCCAGGGAATTCTGGGGAACTCACAGCAGCATGTATACATACGTATTTTTATGACCATGTTCTGATAGCTGTTTTTTGGGTTTGTTTGTTTGTTTTTTAACGGCATTATGGTGCTTTTCAGATAAAGCAATTCACCTTGCACCCATGTGTGACAAAAGAAGGAGAACCTTCGGCCACTGATGTTCACATGAAGAGAACAGACTGACTTATATAAAGAATTCATACAGCTCAATAAAAGACACCTGGGCTTTATTTTATTTTCTGTGTGTGGGTATAGTTTTTGGGCCACACCCAGTAATGTTCAGGAGCTAACTCTCAGTTTGGGGGGCCATGCAGTGCCAGGGATCAAATTGGGGCCTTCTGGATGAAAACCATGCCCTTCTCCTGCTGAACTGTCTCTCTGGTCCTCACTCAATTTTACAATAGGCAATGTGTAAGGACACATTTTCTCCAAAGATAGTCAAATGGCCAAAAAGCCTTAGAAGAAGCTCAACATAACTTTTAATCAAGGAAATGAAACTGATGACCACAATGAGATACCATTTGACACCCATTTATCACAGATGCTAAAAATTAAAAACCAGAACAAGAGATAGTACAAGGATGAATGTGTTTGCCTTGCCCTCAGCTGACCTAGGTTCAATCCCCAGCACAGTATGTGGTTCCCTAAAACCCCACCAGGATTCATCCCCGAATACAGAGCCAGGAGTAAGTCCTGAACACTACTGGGTGTGATGATCCCCCCTTAAAAAAAGAAAAAGAAAAGAAAAGAAAGGAAAAAATAGCATATAACACAAAGATGAGGAAAAACTAGGACCCTCACACACTCTTGGTGATAATATAAAATGATGCAGAAACTTTGGAGAAAGAAGTTTGGCATTTTCTTAAAAGGTCATCATATAGGGCTGGAGTGATAGTACAGCAGGTAGGGTGTTTGCCTTGCACACAGCTGACCCAGATTCGATTCCCAGCATCCCATCCCATATGGTCCCTGGAACACCGCCAGGAGTAATTCCTGAGTGCAAAGCCAGGAGTAACCCCAGTGCACTGCCTGTTGGTCCCAAAAAGCAAAAAAAAAAAGGGGGGGGAGATCATCATATTACTTAAGAATAGAGTAGAAATTTCTTTTTTTTTTTTGACTTTTTGGGTCACACCTGGGGATGCACAAGGGTTACTCCTGGCTCTGCACTCAGGAATTACCCCTGGCGGTGCTCAGGGGACCATATAGGATGCTGGGAATCGAACCTGGGTTGGCCATGAGCAAGGCAAATGCCCTACCCTCTGTGCTATTGCTCCAGCCCCTGGAGTAGAAATTTCTATTCCTAGGTATTCCACAGAAATAAAAATACACATCTACAAAAATTGAACATAAATATTGGTAGCAGCAGTATTCTTGATAGCCCTAAGGTGGAAACAATGTGAATATCAACAGAAGCATGAATCAATAAACAAAATGTGATATATTCAAACAGTAAAATATTATTTGACCATAGAAAAGAATAAAGCATCAATCCACACTACAACATAGATGCAACCTGATAGCATGTTAATTATGGAAGATCACTATTACCTGATTCCATTTACATAAAAAGTCCAAGTAAGCGTATCTAGAAACAGAATGTTTAGCAAGTCTGGGGGTTTAGGGAACACTGCAGAGTCTGCTAATGAGTATAGAGTTTCCTTCAGAAGTGATGAAAATGTTCCAAAAATAACTTCTGTGATGTGTGTTGTGTGCGTCAAAGAAGACATTGCATCACACATCCAAGGTGTTTGGCATATGGAGTTATATCTCAACAAAGCTATTATATATAATAAAGTAAGGGACTGGAGAGATAGAACAGTGGATAGGGCACTTGCCTTACACACGGCCAACTTGGGCTCAATCCCCAGGACCACATATGAACCCCCAAACCTCTCTGGGAGTGATCCCTAACCAGAGCCAGGAGTAAGTCCTGAGTACTGGTGGGTGGGGCCCAAACCTCCTTTGATAAATAAATGAATAAAGTAAAACTGAACCAGAAACGAACAGAATTTGCTGCCTATGTTTCTTGTATGGGCTGGAGCGATAGCACAGTGGTAGGGCGTTTGCCTTGCATGCAGCCAACATGGCCGACCCGAGTTCGATTCCTCCACCCTTCTCGGAGAGCCTGGCAAGCTACCGAGAGTATCTCGCCTGCACGGCAGAGCCTGGCAAGCTCCCCGTGACATATTCAATATGCTAAACACAGTAACAACTAGTCTCACGATGGAGACGTTACTGGGCCTGCTCGAGCAAATCGATGAACAACGGGAGGACCGTGACCGTTTCTTGTATAACAAAGGGAAAGACACAATTTTCTCAGAATTTTTACAACTCAGAATGAAAAACGTATTGCTTAAATTGATACTCTTCAGATATCTGGAAATACATTTATGTAAAACGTCTTGTTTCCTTACCATCTCCTAAGTGAGAGCGATAGAGCATTTTGATGATACTATCTTGAATTTGCTCAAGTTTTCTTTGTAGTCGGTGCATGTTTCGTGGGTATATATTTAGCTTTTCAAAGTAAACCAAATCCACCGCTATTGAGCTCTTCCTTTGACACCTGTTTGAATGTTTTCACGTTAGACTTTGAAGATCTTTGTTTATTCCCTCCCCCCTTCCCTTCATTGTTGTTGTTGCTGCTTTTGTTGTTGCTCTGACCCCAGGGTCGCACCTGTGCCTGACTGTGGTCTAACACCGGTTTATCTGTGATGCTCACCAGGTCACCCAGCAGGTCGAGGTACTCGAACAATCAGCTGCTGTGCACAGCGGTGATGCCAGTCAGGGTTTGCACGGCAGTTGTAGTGTTCACACACATCCTGCCTGGAACTTGCACGCAATCATGGTTGTGGTGCTATCAGGTATTTCTGAGGTATTCACACATGTCCCGCCTGGGGCTTGCACACAGCCACGGTCATGGTGCTCACCAGGTATTCCTGCTCACACACGTGTTCACCCCTGTGCTGCAGCTGGAAATCACTTGTGGTGCCAGGGATTAGACAGCAGAGTGCAGAGAGCCAGGAGTAAACTCTGAGCATCGCCTGGTGTGACCCAAAACAGCAAAAAATAAAATAAAAATACAATTTAAAATGACAATGTAGGGCCATGTACTTCGACCCTCAGTGCTGATTCTGTCCCCAGCCCTACACATGGTCTCCCAAGTATGCCAGGAGTGACCCCTGAGCACAGGGCCAGAAGTAAACCCTGAGCACCACCAGGTGTGCTTCCGAAAAGAAAACAAGAATGCAAAAATGAGAGTCCACTGAGCTGGGGAGACTTGGTTCAGCCTGCAGAGCCTGTGTTCTAATCCAGGGTCACCAGAGCATCACTGGGAGAGACTTGCCCCCGAGCTCAACAGAGAGATGGAGATGGCGGTGCACTGGCCTGGTGGAAAGGACCACTTCGGGGGCAGGGGAGGGGGGCGTAGGCAGAGACTTCTCCTCATGGACCATAGTGCTGGCGTTCCAAGATGATATTTTGGGGGCTCTACTTTAACATTTGGATATATAAATTCTGGAAACATGTAAAAGAACAGGAGGTCAATGCTACCCCATTGAGAATAATATATTGTTTCTTTCAATGAGGTATTAGAAACATGTCATAAAATGTATGTCAGTATTTATAAACAATAAATTTTGGTAAGTGAAATCCTTGCAGAGCAAACTTAAAAATTGAGAGAATTAACTTAGGGGGATCTGGACGAAATTCTTGCAGCTGGGATTACAGTTGTTATGTAAGGCATTGTATTCTATATAACTATCACCAATAGAGTTGTTTGATAGAAAATACTAGTAAGATTCTAGTGGTCTGGGTTAAATGGGTGAATTTCAGATCATCTCAGGAGGGGCAGGAGAGAAGATAGTGAAGTGAGCGAGGCATTTGCCTTGTACACAGCAACCCAGGTCAGTCTCTGGCACCCAAGATGCTCCCTTGAGGCCCACTAAGAGTGATCCCTTATGCCAGCCAAGACTGCGCCCTCACACTGCTAGGTGTGGCCAAAGCCCTCTTCCTCCCAAATTGGGGTGTATTATTGTTTTTAAAGATTAATTAAATCATCACGAATTACAAAGTTATTTCTGATTGAGTTTCAGTCATACAATGTCCAACACCAACCCCTTCACCAGTGTCCACTTCCCTCCATCAGTGTCCCCAGTCTCCCTCCCGGCCCCCTGCTGCTCCTGTGGCAGGCACTTTGGTCTTTTTCTTTTCCCTGTTAGGCGCAGTGGCTGACGATTCTCTTACTAATAGGTACCATGCATGTCACTTGACCTCCTCTCAGCACCTAGTCCTGATCTAGGGTGACCACTTCCCTCTATCATCGTTGTAGTGGTCCCTTCCCTGACCACCGCCCCTCCGCCTCCTCACCACAGTGGCAAGCTTCCTACTCAGGACCAGTCTCTTGGTCTTCATTTCTACTGCCATCAGGCATCATTTCTCTCCTACAATGTTTCTTTATATGCCACATGTGAGTGAGATCATTCTGTCTGTCCCTCTCGCTCTGACTCACTTCATTCAGCACGATACTCTGCAGATCCAACGATGTTGCACAAGATGGCATGACTTCATCTTTTCTTTCAGCCGAGTATATCCCACTGGGTCAGTGTGCCATAGTTTCTTTATCTACTTGTCTGTTCGTGGGCACTTAAGTTGTTTCCAGATTTTGGCTATTGTGAAGACTGCTGCAATGGACATAGGAGTGCAGATGGCTTTTCTGCACTGTTTCAAAGTTTAAAAATAATTTTTTAAAAAGATCATCTGAAGGAAATGACATTTCTCTCAGGCCTAGGATTCTTTCAGTCATATGAATGACTGCCAATATTTCATAGGAAGTCTGTTAAGAAACAGATTTCTAGCAGCTGTCTGTCAGAGGCCACCCAGAGCACCCTCGGTGCTGAGAAGCTGTGAATTAGCAATGACATGGATTCAGTGCCTCAGTGACCTCATTTGTAAACATTGACACTAAATACTAACTGCTTCACAGACTTGCGAAACGTTAAACAAGTTAATACCGCAAACGCTAGAACAGGTCTGACGCAAACTCAGAGCTCAATACATGCTAGTTCTTTGTGGGATTATTGGGATGAAGCCCATTGTTCTCCCAACGCCCACAAAAGGTCAGCAGGCTTACGCAAACTTTTCACTGGAACACGGCTCAAGATGTGACGTTTCAAGACCGGAGTCATAGTACAGCAGGTAAGGTGCTTGCCTTGCGCATGGCCAAGCTGGGTTTGATTCCTGGCATCTCACATTTTCCCCTGAGTCCACCAGGAGTAATTCCTGAGTACAGAGTCAGGAGTAACCCCTGAGCACCACCATATGTGGCCACCAAACAAAGAATGATGTGACATTCCCACAATTTGTCTAACTTTTAAACAACTAGAGCAGCTGGGGCTGGAGTGATAGCACAGCGGGGAAGGCGTTTGCCCTGCACGCGGCCAACCTGGGCTCGATTCCCAGCACCCATATGGTCCCCTGAGCACCGCCAGAAGTAATTCCTGAGTGCAGAGCCAGGAGTAACCCCTGTGCATCACCGGGTGTGACCCAAAAAGCAAAAAACAAACCAATTAGAGAAGCATTCCCAAGGACTAAGCATCGGGCTTGGGGACTCAGCACTCCCCTCCTGGGGCCTGGAGGTGGGCCACCATTGGTGCCAGCCACTTCTGTAAAGAAGGACAGCTAGGCTGGGGGCAGGAGGAAGCAACAATGTTTAAATGGAAGCCCCATTGCGCGACTGGTGAAAGAGAGAGAGTGAAAATTTCTTCCTGGGAAGAGCCATGGAAAGCGTCAGAAATGGGGAGGGTGTGGGTCAGGAGGGGAACAAGGACAGAAAAGATCCAGCCCAGATGCTGCAGGTGGCAAAAGGAGCATTACCACAGATACCTCTACCAGCTGCAGGAAAGGGGCGCTCCCCACACCACCAAGCGGTCACAGTACAGGGACAGGCCTCTGGGGTGTTTGCTGTCCTCAGGCAACCGGAAGCCCACCCAGATAATGCCAGATCGTGCCGCCAACTATTGTAACACAGCGCCAGTCAGACCCAAGCTCTTCCGTCTCCTCTCCAGCAGGTGGATGAACCTGAGCAAAGACTAAGCTCCCAGGGCCCGCACTTTCCCACAAGAAAGCGGCCTCTCACCCCGCAGGAGCACAGACCTCAGCTATTAGCATTGCTTGCTGACGATTTCATCTTTCACAGCAGAGGAAGTAATAAGAGGAACTGCCACCACGAGCCTAAATTTGGCCAAAAGGAGGAATTGGTTGGCAGAGTGGAAGTGACAGGAATCGGGAGAAAGCAACCATGTCTTCTGAAAGTTTGTGATAGAGAGAGAGATATCAGGGTGTGGTGAGAAGGGTTCCCCAGATTTTAACAACGAGCAGCAGGTGCCATGTCAAGAGACTTGAATAGACACACTCAGGAACCAAAGAACATCTCCCTGGGGGGTCAGAAAGATAGTACAGGGGTGTAGAGCATTTGCAACGGTGCATGGCTGACCCAGGTTCAAAACCCAGCATCCCATATGGTCCCCAAGAGCCTATCAGGGCTGGTAATTCCTTTGTGCAGAGCCAGAAATTAGACCTGAGCACCACCGGGTTAGCACCCCAAAAAGTAACATCTCTTTTGAAGGAAGAAGGGGTCAGGGCTTACTCCTGGCACTGGCCTATACTCAGGGCTCACTCCTGGCTATGCTGGGGAGTCCATCAGGATCAGCAGCCGTGTGTAAGGCAAATGCCTTTCACCCAGGTATTGTCTCATCAGCCTCAAGAATCAAGTAACATTTTGGAGGAAGGGGCACCCCTAGTGGTGCTTGAGGGACCACATGTGGTGCCAGGCATCGAACCTGCATCAGCTGTGTGTAAGGCCGGGACCTTAACCCCTGTTATCTCTCTGGCCCCAAGAATCAAGTAACTTTAAGACTGTTCACTTCTTGTGTGGAGACTCACATCAGGAAAAAGGGAGAAGAGGCTTAAAATGAGTTATGAAGAGGACTCCTTACTTGGCTGGAAACCCAAGTGAGCTTGAGATGGACAGAAGGGCACATGCCCATCCAGGATGGAGATGCCCAACCAAAGTATGTTTGCGAAGTGAAAGCCTCCCACGCATCAAGGCAAAGGGCTTCACAAGTCATATTTAAAGCAAAAAAGGGATACACACTTTGTGGTCATGTTGTCATATTGGTGAGTGACAACAAGAAAGCAGAACTCCTCGATTAGTATTCATTTCTATTTTCTCCGTCAAAGGCAATGTTCTTAGAATGGTAATGCCCAAAGAAATGTGTGGGAGAAAAAAAAATGCAGTATCATTCCAGTACCTTTATATGAATTCCAGAAACTGGACCCAAACCAGTCATCTTCCAGAACTTTAACAAAGTTGTTTTCAAGTATTTTACAGGGGAAACCTGTAAATAAATTGCCCTTAAGCACTATCTCAGCGGCAGCCCTCTGGAAGGCAGGTGCTTACGAAAAATTTCAAAACAATGAGGAAATTCAGTTGCACATAGCTCAGGTTACCAGAATTCAAACAGGTTATTAACAAGATGGCTCAAGGGGGGCTCAGGCAATGGTGACAAGAGACAATGGTGACAGTGTAGGACACTGGAAAACATTGTTCCAAAGAAGGATTTCCATAAATCATTTTGGTTCTGCTTTGGGGAAGGGGTTGGAGTTCGGGATGGAAACATCTGAATATGGTGGTAGGAAGATGGAATGGTGGTGGAATTAGTGTTCGAATATTACATGTAATCAAATATTGTGAACTACTTTATAAAATACACATTAACACTGTCACTATCCTCCCATTGTTCATAGATTTGCTCAAGCGGGCCCAGTAATGTCTCCATTGTGAGACTTCTTGTTACTGTATTTGGCATATTGAATACTCTTGGTAGCTTGCCAGGCTCTCCAAGAGGGGCGGAGGAATCGAACCTGGTTTGGCCAGGCTGACTGCGTGCAAGGCAAATGCCCTATCGCTGTGCTATCGCTCCAGCCCATATAAAATAAAAAAATGAGAAATGAAAAAAGGATTTCCATGCAAACCTTCCAAATGTATATTGCTTACATTGATCCACAAGATTTGTGTTTTCTAGAACAAATATCTTTAAGTCAATTTACTGCCTGGCTCACCTTTCTCTAAAATTCATTTGAAACATTTTGCTTTCACTTGAAATATTTTTCACTTGTTCTTTTATTTTTTCGTTTAAGTTTTGCTTTTAATTTAGTTTTATCTCCTTGCTTGTTTGGTTTCTAGATCTGTACCAGTCTCTGACAAATCTCGTTTAAGTTCCAGTCATGTTAGATCACATTGCAACCCCTCTCATTCCTCACCCCACCCACAGACATCCATTTCCTTTTTCCTGGTGGCTACCCTCACTTTGGTCTAGTAACCAGTAACCATGTCTCTGCCAGAGAATCCAGGGACTTTAAACCTGAATTCATAGGCAAAAGTCCAACTCCAAGGAAACTGTTATGCCTGCAGGCTGTAGAGATGACTTAATTCAGGCTGATTGGCATGAGAATGAACAATGAGGGTTTCTGGGAAAGTGGTCTTTCTCTCTTAGTTTGATTAGTGTGGTATGATGTGATGACTTGAGGCACTGCAACCATTTTGCTGCCGCAAGGACTAGCTGAGGACTTAGATGCCCCACAAAGGAGAGCAGGATCTGGAGGTCTCCAGAAACAGTAAAGTCCTGATTAAACTACATCAGAAAGAGTTGCTTGAGAGACTTGACAGCTATAAGAGTTACTAAGTCCCTTCCCAGTGGCCCTCTTTAAAGCAATTTTAGTTGAGCTTTTGTGAAACTCCACACTGCAGTTCCTTGTATCTGAAATTGCCTTAATGTTCAGGTGAGTTTTGCTGCTGCTACGGTATTCAGGGCATGTGTTCTAAACCGAGCAGTGGCACTGTGCTCCTCTGGGAGTTAGTAATGTCTATTGTTCATGTCAAGTTCAAGTTTTCTGACTCCAACTATAGGCTTAGGTCTTGTCAACATTTTTATATTTGCATTTTTCCCTAGGAACAAATGTTTTCATGTTTCAATATAAGCAGCTATCAATTCTGTTTTCCATTGATTTTGTCTATCAGCAATAATCATTATGACTTACATAAATGATTATTTAAGATAGGTTCTATTTCTGGGATAACACAAATATATTTTAATGAATCAGGAAAAAAAAAGAGATAAGGGTGGTTGGAGATAGTACAACAAGATACTTGTAGTTCATCCAGGTTCAATCCTCATCATCCCATACAGTACCTTGAGCACTGCCAGAAGTAATTTATGAGTGCAAAAGTCAGGAGTGAGCCCTGAGCATTGTCAGGTGTGGCCCCCCAAATAAAAAACAACAAGCAAGGAAGGAGGAGGAGGAGGAGGAGGAGGAGGAGGAGGAAGAGGATAAAGAAAATGGAGGAGGAGAAGGATGAAGAAGAAGGAGGAGGAGGAGGAGGAAGAGAAGGAGGAGAAGGAGGAGGAGAAGAAGCAGCAGGAGGAGGAGGAAAAGAAGAGAGAAGACAGATTGTTCCAGGTATAATGTAAAAACCTAAATGCACGAAGAAAGAGAGGGAAGGGGAGGTCAAAGTGTTTTCATTCAGTAAGGATTTATACATGGGATTAGGGTGGGGGGTACACCAAATAATCAGTCAGACCTGGTTTCAGTCCCCAGCATCCATATGGTCCCCCAAGCACTGCCAGGAGTAATTCCTGAG